ACCATTATAGGTTTACCTCTATTTTTATGGAATAATGGCACAAGAAAACACTGGACATACAGTCTAAGCTCATTACAACAGACCTGGTTACAACAGACATTTGGATATAACATAGGGATTGTGAAGTTTGGTTCGTTTTCCACTACATACCATTGACTCCGCTTCATATCTGCATACAACAGACTCCTCTTATAACAGACCGAAATCTTTGTCAAAATCAAGGTCTGTTATAACGTAACGAGCTTAGACTGTATACAGGCATATATCCATGTAGTATTTTGTTGAATGTTTTCCTTGCTTTTTAAATTAATAAAAATATATCCTGCAGCATTCTCAAACTTCAAAAAATGTTCGAAGTAGCCAAATAACCAGCCCCATTTGTTTTGAATATTTGCACGTCTAGGCGATATCATAACAAAGGGGGTTACAGTTGAAACATGCCTGTATCAGCAAGTCTACCAGTCAAAATAGATAACAGAACACAATTGCAGACATTTGACAGGCTAGCAGGTGCACTACAACACAAATGAGTATCAATTTAGGTATCTATGATCCAGTGCAGAATGACATAGAGCAAATAATTCCTGCATAATTGTTTGGCTCGAATGCGGAACTGTCGAAATATCTTGATCAGGTCGACATGTCCCCGTGATGCTACGATTTTGTTTACGTGGGACATCTCAAGGCCTGAAAGACTGGTCTCTGTCACGTAGACAGCAACGTGTTAGGCATACGGCAAAGGTTACAGGCATGCTGTCACGCCTGAAAGTTGTTTCGTAACTTCTCGTAACTTCACAAACTGTTTGCATTGTTCTAAAAAATGAACCTTGTATTTCAGGCATAAACAACCATGCTCTCGACAAGCACACTGGCCATGGAGGGGTGTACGACCGCTGTGTTCACGACACCCTCGTTGGGGACAGAGAGTGGCTCTCTCTAGGTCAGTAGGCAATCACGCTGAAAACCTAACTCTACTTTTCTCTGAGCGAATTTGGTAAATTTGCACATTTAAGTAAAAAAAATAGAAGCTGCATAGCATGTAATCATGATTCCAGGTACACCAGCTCACAAGTGCTTTGTCAGCATTACCATGCAAAAAGTGCTTCTGAGGGACTTGGAGCACGTGTCACCTGCAGGCCACACGTACAACCTCGAGTCCTACCATAGTATGCTCATCAGGTTTGCACCCATGTCTGTGGCGTTCACAGGCCCCATCATGCATGCAAGGTTTGTTTTCTGTAAACTAATTAGGCACATATGCAAGTCGATTGTTTTTTCTAGCAGGTCCCCATGAATGCTTTTCACTGCGGACAATATTTCTGCTTCAGAACCAGATTGGCTGCTCTGCACCACAACGAAAACTCCGGAAGGGTCCAAGCGGTGACGCGCAAAGGGCAGCCGAAATTCAAGCGAAGGATGCAGAGAGGGAAGATGGGGACCGATCGTCTCAAGGAAGTGAAAACCCCTCCAACCTACGGTGAGGCTCATATAATTTTGTTGGCACCGTAGATACTACCCGCTGGACAGTCATTCCGAGACAATCTAAGTGCTGCAGAGACGCTTTTAGTTCCTTGACATATGTGATGGGTAACATCCTTTATCTGCGCTTGCCCTAATTACAGCGTACGTGGGCCAGCTGCTGTCTGAGGCTGCTGCCTGCTGCAACGAGTCTTCCCTCAGGGAAGCCTTGGGCAACAGACCCCGGGATCGGGCCCCCCTCCCCATGGCAGCTCACTACCCGAGGCTCCCGAAGGAGCAGCTGGTGGAACAGAGGATGTCACGTTACAGCAGAGGGACAGCAGGGTCTTCATGAGGTGAATGCTCCAAGCAGTTGCTCTACCGCACTGCTTTGTATTCCATACACCTCCTGTTCTTGGTGTTGTGCTGCTGTGTGTTTGAAGAGAGAATGAACGAGTACTGAAGCTTGCAAATGAATCTGGGGTCCGCTAAGCTATCTTGTTTTTAGCAAAATGGGCAGCTTCACGGTTGATCAGCAGGATGGCACAAATGAGAGTGCACGCACTGTCTCGCTGAATGCTGTTGTGGATGCCGGCAACAGTTTAGTACGCTATCAAAAACAGACAGATTTAGGTTTATTGCGCTTGCACTTGTTCATTCGTTTCTTCAATCAGTCTGTCTGCTTATTTGAACGTGCAGGACGCATCCTCAGATGAGCTGAAGGCCGTCAAGAAGGCTGGCAAGGCACAGAAGAATGTGTGCACCACTGACAAGCAGCAGCACAGGAGGAAGTAGTCACAGTATCTACACCTAAAAGGTGCTTGAGCTGTTCCACCCAGACACCGACGCGTCAAGCGGGGCCATGTGGACCATGAAGAGCTTCATGAACGACGCCTTCGAGCATATTGAGGCTGAGGTCTCCTGCCGTGGCCCACTACAAGCGCTCGACCATCGCGAGCCGCGAGAACCAGATGGCTGTGCAGCCGCTGGTGCCGGGTGAGCTGGCTAGTCACACCGTGGCCGAGGGCACCAAGGCCGTCACCAGGTACACCAGATCCAAGAGGTCCATCACCGTCACGCAGAGAGAAAAAACAACGGTCCTTTTCAGGACCACTTCTCACTCGAAAATCGGACGTCTTGCGACGGCTTCAGACGCCCGTGTCTCTTTTTTCAATGCAGTATTTAGAAAGGAACAAAAGTTGTGAGTACAAATTCGATGTTCTACCAGTTTGTAGTTGCAGCATGCATGCAACGATGGCAGCATGCCTGCTTCACAGGCATGCTGCCTATGTGAGAGAATACAGATTAGTGCATTTGCTGTCAATTCCTTGTTTATCTCAGCATTTGCTTTAGCATCCCCCAATTTCCTTGCACGTTCCCAAGCTGGCTTATGGGAGCTAGATCATGATCACGTGCAGCCTTTTGGCACATCCCAGCTGCTAGGGAGCACGTCTCCCATGAGGCGGACACAATGCGGTTATCACAGTGGAGTTTCTGCTTGCCTGTGGATTGTTTATTTAGCATAACACTATAACCTGCAAAATAATTGGACGGTTCAAATTGTGGACTGCACAAAGGTCTTGGGCCACATGTAGGGATTTTCATGCAGTGCTGCAGAATGAGCACGCCCTTTTCATTCCAAATACATTCCACAGAATTGAATTTTCCAATAATTTCATTTCTTTGAACTCCTAAGAAAGGAAACACTGGGTTTTGAAATGTTGTTCACAAGCAATGTTTTGAAAAAAATTACAAAAAGGGTAACTTTTTTCTAAGACAAGATTTCTCTTATTTTGTGTGTTTTAAACCATGTCAGGGTTTCTAGGTCTCCACTATTTCCAGTAATCTTTTGGGTGTCAAAGGGGTTAAGTTGCCGGCAAATAACGTCAGTATAAAGCTGACGTTATAAAAGGCATAGACAACTGCAAAAATATGCAAAAAAAAGTTCCGAAGGCACTATCAGGCGGTAGTCGCACATGGCACTGATAGCAATGCGTCGAAAAACTGAGGGAAACAAGAGCACGTCGCAACATGGACCCATCTTTCGAATGATTAGTGGGTAGACCGTTGTCTCCACACTGCAATTAAACACGCTCGAATGCGAGGACCTAACGCCAGATGCCGGCGTTCTAGCGCGTTTGTTCAGTGCAGTGGAGACAAAAGCAGCTAGCTATACACTAACACGCGTCCCTGACGTCATGCTGCTGTAGTGGCGTTGCTACTGGCAGGGCGCATGCACAAATGCTCCACTTCATGCAAATCTAGTTTCTGTGTATTTGCACGCACTTTGTGTGGGCTTGTTTGTAGACAGCGCGCTGGCCTATACGTCTACCCACTAATCATTTGAACCAGAGCTCAGCATTCTGACATCCCCGTGCTCTCGTCTCTTCCTCTCCATTAGTTTCTTGGCGCATTGGTATAATAGTACAGCAAAAAGCCTTAACAGATAGAAAAACTTCAAACCACCCATTTTCTTCAGAAAAGGACCTTATTTATAAAACCACTTCTAGGAGATATGTGGCAAATGAGGAGTCGTGCATCAAAAAAACACGGGAACTGTGGCATTGTTCATACCTGGTGCTCTATTTGCACATGGTCAGAAGTCACATTGCCGAGTCTCATGGCACCACGAATGAGACCTTGTCTGCTTACAACGCTAGCTTTAATTGCTTCATTGGGGTGCGATTTTCAACCTTGAAGGAACATGAGCCGGTCAGATAACCAAGCCGTCAGTTACCTAGAGTGCAATGATGCCGTCTCAAAAGCCCCTTTGACCGCATCGACACAGCTTGCATAAGAACACATTTCATCCCTGCTCAATTCTTGGCAAGATGCAACTAATTCCCTTCTAATTTTTCTCAGTACTGCCGCCAATCCACTCTATTCCGGAGTCGCAGAATGATTGTGGAATCATTCAGACTTCAGAGTGGCAACTCCGCAACACTGTTTTCATGGTATGGGTGTTTGCCACCTATAGGCACAGTGCATTTACCCACTAATTACTAGACATGCAGGTACCACAGCAAGTTTTCTGGCAGCAGAGCAGTCAAGTCTAAAGGTCGCCACGAATGTCTTCATGCCAACAAGATTGGTGGAGAAACCGGAACTGAGAAGTGAATAAATGTATGGATGAACCAAAGAAGTTTCCAATGAGTAGCCTGTATGTCATGTTCCTGGCTATGTTCTTTACAGGGCATAAAAAAAAGAAGCAAAGAGTTACCTGTTGGAACCATTTTGGGTGGCTCGATGCTGGCGCATACACGCAGCTGTGCTATCTGTGTTGAGCTCAGCTGGTCAATTTATTAAGCTTACGAGACACGGGAGGGAGGCTCTGCTTGGTTGCCAGCTCCGATATACTGCAGATGAGTGGCCTTGATAAAGGCCGTATAAATGGGGTTCTGCCAAACATTTCTCAAGGGTAGTGCCAAGCAGTACAGCTAGAGAAAGCACAAGCTGCAGCAACTCTGTGGCTGTACACTGTACAGCCACAAGGTTGCTGCACCCTGGTCTCTCTCTAGCCGTACCGCATAATGCTCTACACGGTGATCCATGTACCAGAGGATCGGGGGTGTACTGGACGGCTTCCTGGCTGGAAAGAGATGAAGTGACTTATTAGGGTGCAGAATGGCAAAGGACACGACGCCTACAGAAGGATTGATTTCAGGTGCTACTTAAACAATGTTTAATATTGCAACTTCAAATGTGCTCGATGCCCATGTCTGATTGCTAGGAAGAACGCTAGAAATGCATGCTTGGCTTTCTATACGTTGAAACTGTTGCGACTGATATTGAAACAAATAATACAAAACTTGCTCATGTTGAATTAACCTGAGACTGGGGTAGAGAAGAAACGTCAAAACGTAGAAGGGACAGAAAATAGACAGGACAACGCCTAAAACTCAGCTGAGTTTGAGACGTCGTCCTGTCTATTTTCTGTCCCTTCTACGTTTTGACGTTTCTTCTCTACCCCAGTCTCAGGTTAATTCAACTTGGTTAATATTCACCAGCTCGCCTGCACCCTTACGATTTTTTCTACAAAACTTCCGTCTATTTACATAGCTACGATTAACCACAGCTTCCATGTCAGTTCTTGATTTATGGTTCAAAACATGGACCGAGTAGTGGACCAACCTCAGCAATCCACTGGTGCGCAGTCCAGAGGAGGATACTTGAAGCCAGTGTATTGTTGAGAGGGGAAGGTTTTTCTTATTTTCTCCACAACGCACGCAGGCAGCACTCGTCTGTTGCCAGCTCCCAGTCGACCCCACATCCAGCGGGTGAACTGCCGGTATGCCACAAAGCGATACTTCCTGGAGAGGAAGAATAACAATGTTTCTTGTAGAACTGAAGGCAGAACCGCCACGTTGTAAGATGCAGCTGAGAGGCAGAAAGCAGTCCTCATCAGGTCTTTGATTTTCCGACAAGCTTTTGAAAGAACTGCCGCACTCGCTGGTTTAATGAAAACGCGTTTAGATAGTTTATATTTTCATGTGTGATGAGGCTTTTTGTTTCGGGCACGGCGAGCCTTAGGAGCACGTAAAGTGTCAGCAAAGCGAACACTACGAAGGAGGTTGTGCTCTTTTGGGAGCACGTAAAGTGTTAGCAAAGCGAACGCCTGCTACGAAGTCGGTTGTGCTACTATGTATCTACCTGACTGAGTAATCAAGGATATTCGTATGCGCGCGATCACGTTTTGTTGTTTCATTTTGCCGTGTTATGCTAGCACCATTTGCACTCACTCGTGGAGCTCGTGGGAATGTTCGAGACCCTTCTCGCGGACCTCGCAGTACGCCACGGCGAGGACGGCGACGTCAAGGCACAGCTTGAAGAAGTCGGTGTGCACCGTGATGCACTCAGCCGGCTGCTTCCGAACAACTTGTGGCAGCTCACGGCAGCAAAAACACTCCCGAGTTGTAGGCATGGCCGTGCAGCGGCCGCAGTCGCACCTGGATTGCAAGCTTACTTAGGACCCAGCTTATATGTTTTATATCGTGCCCAAGGGGAACGCTCACCAGTTTGTATCTCCTACTCGCCGAGGTGGCTCCGGTGGCGGAGTTGCGGGAGACGAGTCTTCCGCGACTGGCGAAGCGGAGGGAGGCAGAGACGCGTCGCGGCGCTTGCGTGGAGTGTCCTCGTACGGCGCGACGCCCAGATCCGCACTCTTTTTAAGAATTCGGCGCTCAAAATCTGATAAGCCCGGTAAATTCATCGATGATGGCAACCCGATCTTAACCCTGCGATGGTTGCATCGAGGCCTAACGACGACGGGCCGACCGGGCCGACCGGGCTATCAACCAAACTCGCGTCCCATTGGCCAACCGCTTTGCTCCAATCGCTAAACTGTTTCATTTCACGTCATGAAGCGCAATGTTTTGCTTATTTAAAGTTGTTTTCTGCAATATTTATTTGGCCAATAACTCACAAAATATTGCGAATTTCTGTAATATTTTTTTTCCTCGGTGTTCCTGCTTTCATGGAGCTCCGTTTCAGCGCGAACTTCGAACCGGTCAAAAAATTGTTGGTGGGCCCCTTAAACTGGAATATGCCGCAGCGGTATGGGATTTATACCAAAACTATCATATCGAAAACTTCGAAGCCATCCAAAAACGTGCTTTAAGATTCGTTTACTTCTTCGTCCTTTACCACCATCACCAAACTAAACAAGCACACCGCTCTGTATTTCCTAGGCCACCGTCGAGGAATTGGCAGACTGCCACAATTTCACCGATATTATCACACGCTGTCACCAAACCCTTACATCACGCTCCGTTCACACTTTTAAAGTCGCATTAACAACACCCAACAGGTGTCATACCCTCGCCCGAACACAGATCGATTTGCAAATTACTTCTTTTATTAAAACAGCCAAAGATTGCAACGATCTTTCAAAAAACAAAGTACAGCTTAGGAATTTGGTTATATTCAAAAAAACTCTTATAGCGCTGGATCATTCATAGTTTCACGATGGTGAAATTCATGCGTGCAATTGTGTTTTCTCCGTGTCTTTCTTAATATAAATGTTACCTTTGTTTTTATTCTAGCCACATGTTTTTTTGGAAAATTTGCTGTGTAATGCACACCCCTCATGTAATACACACTCTTCTGGGGGCCTTTGAGGAAATTAAAATAAAATGTGCTTTGAAATATCACCAACCTACTGTCTTGCTATTGATTTCACCCCAAAAGTCATTAACTCCTATCCACCCACAATATCAAGAGAGCCAATTTCATACCTGAAACAGCGTATTTTTCTTAGTAGTAACCAACGACAGCGTTTTTACATGGCTACCGTATATCATAATCATGAAAACAACAAAACAACAACGAAAAAACTGGGGCAATTATAGACGCCATTCACTTAATTAGTGGATCAACATCGGGTGCCACAGTCGGGTTCAAGCTCCAGCATTACCTGTCATTATTTCTTGTGCCTTAAGGCACAGTCTCCTTATCCTAAATTACATTTGTACTACGTTTGCTGCCTAGCGTCCAAAGTGCTCTTGGAGCCTGTTTGGAGTTGCCTCATTTAATTCCTACCCCACAGTATACAACACCCTTTCAATTGATAACCGGATAATCTTATGACAAACACCAAACATAGGGAAGAAAGAACTATAATCGTGTGTTTTAAAGGTAAGCAAATTTGTGACATTCAAGTGTTGCAACTGTTTTAAAACATTCCATGCATTTGTACACGGTGTGTTTTTTTTAGCTGCACCAAATTTTCAAAAAAAAAAAAGAAGGAACGCGAGATAAAGTAATTTGAGCCCTGGGGAACTGCTAATGGCCGTGGCGGCCTCCAGAAAATAAGTGAAATTAGGTAATTAGTTAGTTAGTTGATTAAAATGTTTAACTAACTTTTTAATTTTTCGCGTGAGGGCGCATAATATGTTGATCAGATTGAAGATCGACCTCAGTATGGTCCAGCCGTGTCGTCAAATTTTGATAAGAAAATTCCTATTGGGCGCTACGGGGTCGAGAAATGTCACTTTGGTACACGGCGTCAAACCGAAACTAAACAGGAAAGAGCGCCGGTAAAGTTATCGCTCCGCCCTTTCGGGTACTCGATTCGTCGTTATCGCGACGGCGCTGCATCCTCGGGCGAGACCGGCTGCGATAACGACGAATCGCGTACCCGAAAGGGCGGAGCGATAACTTCACCGGCGCTCTTTCCTGTTCAGTTTCGGTTTGACGCCGTGTGCCAAAGTGACATTTCTTGACCCCGTAGCCCCAACTAGAAATATTCTTATCAAACTTTGGCGGCACCGCTGGACCATACTGAGGTCGATCTTCAAGGGGCACTGACACCCCAAAGGTCGTATTTATTTTTATTGTCTAAAACGATGCAAGTTGCAGTCATAGACACGCAAAAAAAACCGCATCGCGAAAAAAAATTTTCCTGCGCGCGCGCGCGCCTTTTTATTTTTGGCGTTTGATTTTCCCGCCTCTCGCCTCCTCGCTTCTTTTGATCGGTGACGTCAAGAATCATGAAATTTAGAAGCTGTGTAGGCGACATCTCTATAACATTTAATTACGGCAATCCTGAAACATGTTTTTTAACGCAATTGCGAACGCACTACGGCCCTTCTTTTTGAAATACCAAAAATCGGGAGTTCGTTGTGGTGCCGTCTCCTGGATTTGTATCCTCCAACGGAAAACAGGCGACACCGCTCAAAACCGGTCCGCCGCAACGCCGGCAATCGCTCCTTTCCTCCTCGCTTTGGGTCGCCATGGCAACAGCAGGGAGTGGTGAAAGAAAGTCGACTCTCAGGTCTCCGCAATTTTTGACGTCAAGGCACCGGCGCCGGTCGCGCGGGAACTTCGAATTCGGCATTTGGAAATTGTTTTTTTACTTCACAAATACTGAATTCCAAAATTTCAAATTTTGAGGGTAATGTCCCGGCATCGTTTTCAATCGTTTCGGATAATAAAAAAAAATGATTTTGATGTGTCAGTGCCCCTTTCAATCTGATAAACATATTATGCGCTCTCACGTGAAAAGTTAAAAAGTTAGTTAAACATTTTAGTCAACTATCTAATTACCTAATTTCACTTTTTTTCTAGAGGCCGCCATGGCCATTAGCAGTTTCCCAGGGCTCAAATTACTTCATCTCGCGTTCCTTTTTTTTTAAAATTTGGTGCAGCAAAACATAAAGAACCCTGTATGTACATTTAGCTAGTGTATAGTATATTACAACAGACGTCGTGCACTCTATCTCCAATTCTTTGTCGTCGCCTTTATGGAGCACCTGCACTATAGCTATCGGCAGTTGTTCTCCAATATGTTTATACGCAAAAAATAACAAAATGAACCACACCATATCGAGCGCATTATTAAAACAATATAACGCCTGCCATAACTAGGCAAACAAAGTGAACTAAGAGCCGATTTTAATAAGAAATGCCCGATTGATAATTTTGTTTTAGTTCTTTTTTTATTTTCAAATTGCAATAGCGTGGCATTTTTAAACAGCAATATACATAACACGCAACAGAAAAAAGCCTCTTAACATGCACTCCTAACAAATGCAATGTATAGCTTTAAGAACTGCGGTGTAGATGTGGCCTTACCCGAAGGGTTTTCGAAGAAAGAATTTCAGAATCACAACAAGCTGCGAGAAACATTCTGACCTATATTTATGAGCAGCACACGCTGTGCTACCGAAGAGCAACAGAAATGCACTCACAAAAATGACCTTCCCTTTTTTCTTGATACTCACGCAGAAGTTCAGGAACAAAAAGGCTCAACGCGGTTCAATTCTTGGCGCACCCGACACAGATACAGACAGCCCAACGAAATGCGATCTGTTAATTCGATTCGGTGCCCACAAAAAAAGATTTTTAGTGACCACCGAATGAATCCTGCTCCAACCCCCCCCCCCCCCCCCCCCCTCCCCCATCCACTCAATACAATTTACTGTTGGAAGCAAGCTCGATAGAGCCCCCTTACGAGGACCAGTAGAACTAAGCTTCTGGGGCGGGAATATTCGAATTTCGAACGGCGCGGTTGAAAATGCTTATATCAACGCAGCTTGTGGATAGTTTTGCATTTTAGAGATGGATAAGGACCATAACTTTCCAAATTATTTTGAGTTAGTATTAAACAAAGTAAGCTTGAAACACAAAAAAGAGTTTGCCAATATCAGAAGAAAAATGAAAGTTGTTTTGTTGAAAATCCTGACCCTTGCAATTCAGACCGAATTTTTATTATAGAATGTTATAGAGCAAGGTTTATGAGCAGACATAACTGAATATAGTTTGCCAGCGTCTTCATAAGTGACTTAATCAGTGACATTTCTGAGTATGTCTCCTCACCGCCACGCAAAGAAGTGTCGCATGGTTTACGACAGTATATGATGGAACAGATTGATCAGAATATAAATATTTTTAAATAAATAAGTTAGAGGTATCTTTTAAAAACCATTAATTGTGCTAAAATCCGAAACGAAGAATTTTCTCAGTTAGTGGCGGTACAGCTATTGAACAAATATAATAAAAGTGATGAGCGGGATGCAAAAGGTTGCTCCTAATAGAGGAGTCGTTTGTATCGTTCAACCAAAAGAGAGGGTCGAAGAGGACATAAGTGAGACGTGTCATGTTTCCTATAGCCGTGACGTTCATTGAGTTAATCGCAGAAATAAAGAGATCGTTCCTATCGCATTATATGGCTTTGTTAATAGTCTCAACTTACAACTTAAAAACGTCATGTCTTAAAAAAAAAGAAACAGAAGAAAATCAAGCGATTGAAACCAGATTGCAGTCGGTTAAGGTATCTGTCTGTAAGGTGATGATGATAAAAAGAGTGAAAAAAGGTGATAACTGAAAGGCAAAACGATGGGCATGTCCATAAAAACTTGTTTATATCTTTGACCACATGGCCGGCATCGCAGAGTGGTTAAGAAGAGCACACGAGGAGGTGCAGCGTTTTTTCCCCTTGTTGATGAACGTCCTCTTAAGTGAGTGCAAACTTTGCAAGACGATGTTTATTATATTGCACTGTTCGAATTCATTTGACCAGAGCCGTAGTATGCATACTAGTGATATTTCTAATTAAGCAGGGAGATTAATTTTGTGAAGTAACTTGGAGTATAAAAGCAAACCATTTCATTCACTCTATAATTCGAAAATGTTTCTGCGTATGAGCACTCCGCATGCAAATTAACACTGCAGCACTTTCAAGATGCCGTTCTAATATTACTGACTTAAACTGCTCCGCTGTGTCGCTTGATATACTGAAAACAATATTTTTTAGCTATGACAAATCAATGTATTTGGCTATCATACCACGCCACGTCGACACAAATCGTGCGTCGTTAGATGGCTTGGGATATGGTAAAATCAGTGCTTTAATAATAATTAACTCGACGCTTATGTCAAAAGTGTGCCCTGTCGAAGGTATTATAACTTAAAGAGTTTTCGAGACACGGGACAGTCTATATCCATGATTTGTAACTTGAAGAACGCTGTTACTCTAGGATCGGCGATTCCCTGTTGAGAAACAGTTGAGCAAATATCACCCTTTCTGCGTAACATGTTGAACTCTCTTTCAAGTTCCTTTCCTCATAAAAAACTAGCAGCCCTTTGTTCTAAACAGGAACTGAACCTATGTACAACTTCGAGGGGCCTTGCTCCATTCTCCCAGTTTCCTGCCATTTTCAACGACATTTTCTCTAGTGTTTTTTTTAGATGTAAATCGGGACACCATTTGAGGATCTTGTGAAATGTTCGCCTGTTAGCTTTGTAGCTTTATGCTTTACAGGCCAGAGGCTGCAAGTATTTCTTCGGCTACTCAATGAATGACTGTAGTTATGTTTGGTAGGTATTGATTGAGCCATGAAGTTCCGGTTGCTCTCATTATCTAGAGAGTCGATTCCAGACTGTAGTGGTGAAGATTGAAGACGGAAACAAAAGGTTCGAGGTAAACCTAAGAACTTATGAGTTGTGAATGCGAAAGTATGAATGTCGTTCTTGCGCGCGTCCTCGTGAAGTGTCCGCGCTGTGCTGACATCGGCTGTGCCGTCGCTCTGGAGAGCGGCGGCACGGCCGATTCCTTGTACCGGTGCTTGCGGCGCGGACACGCAGAGCCGTGAGGTGGCCCTCCTTCAAATTGACGCTCAGCGGCCTATAAGAGCCTCTTTCATTGGAACTATGAGCGCGCCAGCCAATGGAACTGAAGCTAAAACTTATCAGATTTCGTCTTCACACCGCTTCATTAGGAGCGGCGAAACTATGGGTGCCGTTTGGTTAGGCTTTTTGCGTGGCATGAATGCCGGGACAAATCAGATCTCGGCTTCACTTGGAGGAAGGAGTTTAGTTGCCGTTTGGCGCAGCTTCAAACCTGATTACGTCGGCTCGCTCTATAGGACAGTTAATGCTTTCGCATTAATAAATCATAACTCTTGAAAACTGAAACATGGAGCCGTGGAAGAGTTCGGGCCAACTGTCTGGGTATTTCTGGTTTCAAAATAATTAGGTTATTACTTTTAAGTTACTGCGGAAATGTAATGCGTTACTTCACTAAAATACCTGCATTGTGAAATAATTAACTCCACTTCTACTTATTGCTTCAGAAACAAATTTATTTATAGCATGTAAAATCAGACAATGCCATTGCTGCTAAGTTGGACGCTGTTTTGTTTTACAATCAGGGTTATACACAGGATAATGGTAGTTGTCTTGTTTCCCGCAGGCGTACTTGTAGATGCTCATACATTTCGGAGGCACTCCTTTTTCGAGAAAATGGCTGTGCAGGTACAGCTCACAGGCGGGATCTAAGAAAATGCAATATATTGTTGTGAAGGGTATTGTCTTTTATAGTTTGAAAATGTTAATCTAAATATATTTTATACTCGTGCACTTACGTCCGCCGCAACAATAACGTTATTTAAAAAAATATGCTCCGTGTTTTTTAAATTTTTTTTAGTGTTACGAAAAAACAAATAAAGAAATTATTGCAGCATAGCTTTATGACGGCGGCGGACGTCAGGAACACATAAAACAAGAAATAATAGATTAATTAACAGAAACTCGCTAATTACCTTTTGAACTATTATTAAGCTAGCACACTTAAATTCGGTATTTGTAACGGACCCTATATATAGGTCACTCAAGTTATTAAATTCTAGAACAAACAATTCTTCGAGAAGTTACGGGGCGATTTTCTGTTATTTGCCACGTGATAATTGGAAGATTTTTGTTCTTTAAATCTAAGAACTTATCTGGTTAATTTAAACGGCGGGTTAAAAATCGTAAATTGAAATATTCCTGCTAAAAATAATAATTAAAAGTTTAGTCAGCGAATTTGGGTTAATTGCAGCTTGAGTACGATATGCTATACCAGCAGATTTCGATTCGCTGCAGGCATATCGCAAGCAACATCACACCGTGCGAATCAAGCTAAAGGGAACGAAAGAAATCGGGTCAAATGAACCAGATGAAAGTTGAGACATGTTAGTTTTTGCGCGACGCGTTCATGTCGTTGGATTTCTTGAAAACTTAAGTTTTTATGTGAGCAATTTACCACACCGGTTTGTTACTGTAAAATAAGAAAAGGAATGACTAGATGTCGATCTTGTGTGTTATAGTTTGCTCTTTCTTTGCCCTTATTAAAGCCTTTCCGGAAATCTGGACCCAGCAGGACGCGATGTCTGCCTGTGAGCTCCATCGTTTTGAGACGGCCGAAATTTACGAGGGTGTACCTGACCTTTCCCACTATATTTCTAACAGAAATTTTATGATACGCTGGCAAATAAAACTATATCTGTCGCCCGTATGTGTTAGCTGACACCTTAGGGATTGCGACTTTAACTCATATGAGCTTTAGCTGGCCGTGGCCTTCTTTGCACATTTTTTTTTACGTACGGTACTATGCTATATTATTCATAAATATTGGGGCCAAGAGCTGACTTTTAATAGTTCAGTAACCGAGCTTATCAAGTTCAAGTTTTTACTCACATCTTGACATCACCCTTAGTATATCGCACGATTTGTAGTCAGAGAATATGAGTTTGTATAATCCGAAGCTTTTTACTGTTCCGTTTGCTGAAAATGTCAAGGGCATTTTACATCAAATTAGAAAGAAGATCAATTATTTAAACAAGCGGAAGATGGGGCAAATGCTAACTCATGTCGCCTGACCTGACCCCATCCTCCTGCACAGCTGAAATACTCAGAAGCATAACAAAAGAGTCAGTGAATATAAATTCACAAATAAAATGCTACTTAGTAATATTAAACAAAATACTACAATATACATAATAACAGTCCTAAAATATATGCCAGAGTTATCTCAAAATTTTAGGCTGAAGCTAAAAAATATGTCTTTGAAATGGTTTTAAATGTGTGTATTGTTTTGGAACTTTGAATCATCGATACTATTTTTGGATTGGCAGTGAAATTGGAGGGGACATTTTTTGTAGAACAGTTTGTTCATGCCCTCAGTCAGTGGTAATGCATGTGCTGCAACGTATATGCTGTCGTCGTGTTGTATAATTTTGATGTATGTATTGGGGAGTTTATTTTATTTCGCGCAGCACATATATTGTGAATTGCTTCATTTTTCAGAATGGAGGTAAATAAAAAAACTACTTAAGATTTCAACTAATGGTGTCGATTATTCCCAACGTTAATTCACCCAGAGTGCCAATAAATTAGCAGCCAGGAGAGTATTAATCTAAGGGAAACACCCTTTAAAAATAAGCTCCAATTAAAAAAAAAACAACCAGTGTATGTTTTGTTTTTATACGATTAGTATTCACGAAAATTAAGCAAGTATACAGCCACGGCCACTCGCTATGAAACGCACAAGTTCGGCCCGACAGATGCGTTGCAAACGGCGAGAAGCGCCTAGTAATACGGGCGACAATGGGGGCGATACCGGTCGATGACATCAGTAGGCCATCACCGGCTCTGGCTGGTTTGTTCCGTGTTATCTCTGCTGATCACTATCCTTCCGCTGATGCTCAGCAGCGGAGCGTCCACGACTACTGGCGTCACGAGAAAAAAACTCAGCCGGTGGTGTACAATGCGCCACCTCGCCTTCGCTCATGTCCGGCGCACGACGCGGCAGGCCGTACCTTGTTTTTGATCGAGCGGCCATGATACAGCTGAAACATGTGTGAAGCTAGAGTTCGTTGCTTGTTTAATTTTGCCTGCAGCGCCAAACAGTGCTATTGCAATATACACAAAATTACACAAAATAGACACTCAAATACGCGAAATATTAGTAGCGATCGAAGTACGTATAAATTATAACACATGCATTGCAGTATTTAAGGCTCGGTCCCTCATACTTGTGTAGAGGAACTCATGCAGTAATTTCAGTGAGTAAGGAAAAACCTATCTTTTATCTAAGCACCACTAAACTTATCGGGGAAACTATTGATCTATTGGTCTATAGGTCACCTCAAGCTTCCAGCTAAAATTAGCCGGGTAGAGGGGGGACCTAATTGCTGAACTTGTCCGGTGAAGTAATTTTCCAAGCTACATTTAGGGGACAAACTCAATGGAGCACTAGTTCCCCGCTAAATTTAGCGGGGAACTCAATTGGTGAATTGGGTGTGCGTGCCACCTAAATGGGGCGCGCCGCTCTGCCTTGGCAGCTGGTTGGCATACCGCAAACACCACCAACGGCAATGCCCGTGTTATGCTGAATTAATTTGCTTTTTTATTTTATTTTTGCCTCTGTTTTTTACCTTCAAATTGATGAATAAGGTCGCGATAAAAAGAATCCCTAATTTCCAAAGCATATTTAAGGATGGGCCAAGCATATTCAAGGATGAACAGTTTTTTATGTTAAAGGAGCTATGCATAAAGTTTGTTTTTAAATAAAATGTAAATGTTTCGTCAACTCTTAATGTAATATGTTCAGCGTGTACTATCCAGGACGCTTTTCCGTCAAAAAGAATATATACAATCTTGATCACGCTGAAAAGTGCTGGTAGGGAAATCCTGGTAATATCAATATCAACATGATGATAATTTGATTTCAGATAAACGTTTATTGAGAATTATCAATTATCCAATCCACACCTTCAGCTTCCTTCTTAGCAGCAACTTGAGTTTGACAAGTCAAAATACGTTTGTAGGTAAGCTGTTTTTAAAATTCTGGATCTTCTTAGGCAATCAAAATTTGTATAAAAACAGTATGTTTACACTCTTCATGTGATTGCCTACTCTTTTTGTATTGAATAACTCAATTAAGCTTTATTTTAGGAATTCTTTAGAAGTATTATTTTAGTGTGTCCAATGGCGAAAATTATTTCATCTGTAAAACTATTTAAGTAAAAAATGTATAAAAATATATATTAGTGGAGTTTAAAACTTACGAAACTTCAATGTTACATGCATAGCATTGTCCTCCGTTCGTATGTAGCCAACTCCTGGCGTTCTGTTTGTTTTGACAAACAGCGGAATTTCAACTCTGCAATTTGGAATTATATTATCAGGTGTAATGTGTCAAACTATAGGAGCACGTCACACACTTACGTTAAATTATTTTCTGTTGTCCATCCCTGCATGAATACATAATTTCCGGTACCATTCAACTTTGTAACATTGGCATAGACGCACGCGTATTCTGGATCCCCCGGCTTTGGTAGGTACGTTCGATTGAACATCCATGAAAATGAATCGCTATTCTGGAGGGCCTGTAAAAAATTGTTTGAAGAGAACTTTTATCGATACGTTTGTCCTTCTAATGCAGAATTGCATTCTAACGAAAGATAGCTCAGATTTCTTCATTGTAGAAAGCACAGGAAGCATTGGAGTTTGCCGCCTGGAAAACACATGCGCCGCCTGGTACACGTCGCGCGTTAACACGTGATGAATTGATGAACGAAACCACTCGACGCTCTTTTACCATTATGGGACGTTCACACCGTAGAGTTATACAATAAACGCTAAAGGCTCAGCTGGCGTTAGTGTCTACGGGACTTCCGGTTGCAAATTGAAGCAGACAGCAATCAGTCTACTTTCCCAGTCTTCCTGCGTATTCCTATGGATAAACGTACGTGATATTTTTTCTTCGCCAGGGAATACGAGAAATCAGCGTAGTTTCTTTACTGGTAACGGGTACTATGTAGCGTTATTTACACCATAAAAGTGTGATTTATTTAGTTAATGGCTTTTTTTATTATTACTGAGCGATGTTTAAGTTAGCAAAAATGGAGGCCCAGGTCTATGTTGTACAGCATCATACACCAATACAAGCTATCAAAAGACAATACAAGCTACCAATCAATGAATACAAGCTATCAATAAAACCTATCAATGATGATTCATGCACAGGTTGTCATTAATCCAGTGCGTGCTCTTCGCTCTATAACTTCATGATTCTTTCTTGTCGTCTGTTTTGATTGTTTGATTTGGCATATATTGTCATCCTTTTGGTGATTTGTCGAAGTGATACACTCTGTGTGCTTCAGAGCATTGACCATATGCGTAAATACGCGCCCTATAATAGCAGTCTGCAATGTCAACACTGATTATACATGTGCATTGGGCTATTTTAGCGCACTGTTCGAAGCCATAAACTCTAGAAAAAAACGCTTTATCTCACATATTTTTGAAGATCCGATTGTAAAACGTTCCTAATTTTTTATTTTGTCACAACCCTAAGCAATGTTTGCCCTTATAATCGAGCACGAAGGGAAAACGCATTTGTATTTTCCGATGAGAATGAATTACCAGAAATCAAATTTAGACTGGTTGCCGTCTGCTTCAAAATATAACAGCACACTAGCACCAAATGAGCCTCTAGTATTTACTGTAATAACGCTATGGTTTTCACACGCGGAAACATTTCTGCCACCGAAGCGAATTCAGACGCGGCAGAAAACAGGTGTTTCAGCGATGTAGGATTGAGGTGTTTACATCTATTCATGCCGCCGGCGGCCGTTTTCTGGTTAGCGTAACGAAGGCAACGAGAAGTAGCGATAGTTCTTGTTTCGTCCGTTGCTCTCGGAGTATGCCGGCACGTCTGCAACGAGTTGGCTTCAGTGGTACAGCGTGGGCGAAATGAATTGAACGCACTTTAAACTAGCCGAATAAATCGGTTTCTTAACTTATCGCGCTGGGATTTACTATAGAGGTACTTAAAGCTGGTGCATTCAATAATTGAGAGTGTGAATATATAAAACTTCCGCAGTCAAAAGAAAGAAAATGATAACTGGTTTTGGCAGTGGAAAAATTATCGCTAAGCCTTTTATCTCAAAATCAGTAGTAAATCATTGTAGTGTTTACGACAATTGAACAATTTGTGAAATAAAAAAAAAGAATTGGTGTATCAATTTTTTACTTCATTTGGCCAAAAGAAGCGCCACGGCAAAATAATATTTTAGAGTACATGAAAGATAGGAAAACAGTTTTAGAATTTTTTTATTATTTACTCTGAAGAGCCAATCTTTCCACAATTTTAGCGAAAGCTTCGACTAACTTCAGTCACCTCTGTAGTAACTCCGAGAGCGATAAATCAAAAGACCAATCCAGGCGGTCAGTTTACAGTGCGTCCAATCCATAACGCCCGCGCTGTGGGGTGTTTACGATGAATCGTGTACGGCCACGCTCATTTTTCGACACAGAAGGGCCCGTGCGAAAATGGACAAATTCAACAGCATTAAACACTAGAATACGACGATTGATCTCCCACGAGACCTACTTGATAACGAGCAGAAAGGATAATTTTTTATTAAATAAGTTAGATTTATTTTATTCAAATCAAACCGAGTTACTTATAATATTATTAGTTTGATTCAAATCACTGCAGCTAAACAAAGTAATAATTTTTCACTGTATGTGTTTTAAACATGAAGATACATTCACCGATCGATCAAATTATCGAATGCAACGCGGACGAAATAATTGGTGTACATTTAAAGTACACACTATACTTGGTTTCAGCTTCGGTCCAGACGCAGCCGATGCTACAAGCGCGAGTATGTGGCCCAGAACAGTGCTTGCACTGCACGAGCGCGCGTGCTTGGCAGGGATGCTGAAAGCCCGGAGCTCGCGCTTGTAGCTTTGGCTGCGTCTGGACCGAAGCTGAAACGAAGTATAATTAACATTCCCGACATCTAGGGAAAAAAGGTTGATTTTAATAGTTAGTAAAACATCTTTAAGGTGAATATTTTACGTTTGCAAATTTTTTACGTTTTTACGTTTGTTTACGCTTGCAATGAAACACCACGAAACTGACGAAGACACCTGTAAATGTGATGATCCATAAGATCAACGAAAAATACAAGTATTTTTTTTTTATTTTACAATTGCGCCACGGAGTTAGGTTTGTGTCTTGATACTTTTGCTTATACCGAAATTCGCCCTTTTCTTGGGGTCTTTATTTTAATACCAACGTGAATACAATTGGTTGAAGTGTTCTGATTTTGGAGCACATGTTTGATATGCGAACTTGCTTTCCTTTGTGTGATTTTAAACGAGTGTATTTATTGTACAAATGTATCCTCAGAGCCCCCACCTCGTGCCCCCCTCCCCTTTTTCCTTTGCAATAATGCCTTTTGGCACTACAGGGTAACATGCAATAAAATCAACAACAAACAAGGTGGAGGGTTGAAAGTTAAACGTTCCGAACTGCTCAGAAGAGCACTGCACTTTGCTCGTGTTCAGCCGGATATCAATATTTGTTGATTGATGGTTATTTGATTTAGATACAAAAAATACATATCGGAAGCATTAAATGAGAACCATGTATTAATTAAAAACATATTAGGAATTACTTGAAAAAAAGGTTTGATTCTGTTAATCACAGTAAAATTGGTGTGATATAAACTACGATTTATACCATCTTGATTTTTACTCTGCTCCCTGGTATCATATTAGGAGATGCAGCGCAAACCGAAGCAACAGAGGTGCTGGGTCGGTGGTGGTAATAGTCCGTGCCTCGAAGACCTCGAGGAAAGAAAGGAACCCGTGTACTGCCTTGTCTACACAAGTTAATCAGGTGATCCTTTTCCTAGCCGTGGTAAATGCCTTTGCTAAAAACAAACAGGGAGAAGCAGCTCCCTCCTCTCCCCCCTTTCGCCCCGCGCCCCGAATCGAGTGTCTCTACGACCGTCTTTTTCCACGTGAACCATTCCCGCAGGAATAGCGGCCTCCATTTGGGCATCCGGTGCTCCCCCATCGTTCGTTTACCGTTTCAGTGCCATTCCTTTTGTTAGAGGTCTGTCATTTTCGCACATTGTGTTTGCCGCGAGTTGGTCATGGTTTGCATGATGTCGCACTACAAAGTGTTGGACGCAGTCGCAAAGGGATTTTGTTCTTTCTTTCTTTCTTGATTTTGGAGGACATGGCCGGCAGGGTGGAATAGAAAAAAGGCATTTCTGCCTGACGATCTCTCTCCGCCCTTTACAGCTGTACAGCAATTGTTCGAAAGAGGCAGCAACAAACATAACAATCACCAAAAAACACGCAACCCAGAAACAATGCAACAAAACCAGGTGCCCGCAACAACTGCAGTACAACCCAGGCGCCAAACAGCCACACAATCATAGGCAACAACCCCACAGTCATTGGTGTCTGTTTTATATAAGCATCTAATAAACGTCGCAACGGACTACCTTCGTCGTAAGGTACGCACGTATTTTTTCTCGCGTGGATTTTTTTCGAAGATGTGACAGAGATAGAAACTTAGACAGGGATCGACTAAATATAAAACAGCGATAAGGTTAGCTATGCGAGCACCTTTAAAACTTCCAAGACCACGACGATTCATTTCCCCTGACTCCACTTGCCGTGTAGCAGTAGATACAGTGCACACCAAATAAGCAGTGGTGCCGTCAGCGGCGGTGATTTGCTCATGCCAAGAAACACTTAGCGCGCACATTGGCACCTTCCTCGTCCTCATATGTGAATGCTTATTAAGCCGCGAGGGACGCCATTACTAGAAACACTCAGGAGGGACTCATCGCGCCACCTAACTTCGGGCAAGCGCCGATTGGCCCGCGTCACGCGAAACGCATCGTTCGAGAGAAAAAGTAAATTCCGGACCAATCCAGATTATCTGCCAGAGACGAGCGGACTTCACCCCCGGTGACAAAATCCGCTCGCTGCCGGCGCCGATTACACATGCGGATCCGCCCATTGATCCAGAATCGTGAACGCACCAGCCGGTATGAAAGCCTTGCTTGAAGGACACTTTTTTCATACGTTGGTCATTTCAAGGCAGAATTGCATTTTAGCGGAAGCCAACCCTGATTCTTGATTCTAGGAAGCGAATCTGATCACCGGGCAAACACCTTTGCCGCCAAATGACGGTGCGTCTTGGAAGATGTCACGCGTCAACAAGTGATGAACAAGTCCACACAACATTCCTTCGCCAAATTGTGCATTTCTTCGTGCTGTTTCAAGAAATCAGAGGTAAAAAAGCGACAAGGCAACACTTAAAAGAAATATATTAAATAAGATCCATTGGTGGATTTTTAGAGAATAGAAGATGATAACGACCGTCTTAACGAAAACCCGGCGGTGTCTGTAAGCGCCAGGGAGAGAGGGAAAAGGCAAAGGAGAGAGTAACGCCTGGTAATGTTAGCGCTTCGGATCATAGTGACTGTCGTACGTGTCACCCTTTCCCACTGCGTCTCCCTTTCTCCCCGGAGCTGACAAAATGACAGACACCACCGGGTTTTCGACAAAACGACCGTTCTAATGCTGACGCATCAATTGGCGCGGTTGCCGTGTTTTATGTAATATGCAATTCCATTTATAATATCCGAAAGATATTATAAATAAAAATGCAACTGCAAATCTTTTTTCAAAATCACAATTTTAATTCTTTTGCTGAATAACTTCTGCTTTGCATGCTACCCTCTCCCATATATGTAACAATATTGGACTGATCGGTTAAAAATATATGCATGTCAATTATCTTACCGTTTTTAATAACATGTAGATAAATGTTCACAGTTGCTAATATAAAGAGCAAACCCAATGCCTCCCATTTTAAAACAGGATGGCGCAAGCAATTGTGTAAATTTATATTAGGCCTAATGGTAAAAAGGAAACAATACTAGGTCTCAAATCCTGTCGCATGAACAACAAACTTGGGGTTTACTTGAAACCCAGCGTTATTTCGTTCAGTGGATGTGACCCTTATTATCTTCAGTCATATCCTTAAAATAGATTGTTTATTTAAATAATTGATGTAACTGATAAAGGAACTGAGACAATTTTTTTTTATAGTTTTGTTGTAAATATTGTTTTCATGTCTAGCACCGCTGCAAGAGTACTGGCCTGCGGTAAAGAGCTTTCGTAAGGAAAGTAGAAGGCATTTGTAAACTATGACATAGCACCCAATATCTTTATCTCACAGCGCACCTCACTACGCATAGTATTGTATCCTCACCAACACAGAAAATGCGACAGTAGCAAAATAAATCTTCGATCTGAAGCTTTCTTTTTCAGATTGGTAGGAAGCCAAAGGTTTTACGCCAATGTATTTTATGTCACCCTTGACTGGACGGCACTGAAACCTACGGTCTGTCCAGTTTAATCGCGAACAAGTGAGAAACCAAGCGGTATATTGCTCCGACATCTAACTGTCACGTGATTCGATATGCTAACCGTAGCTTATTTACGTACCTATTTACTGGAGCAATAGCCGCACTATTTATAAACAAGGCCCTTGCTTCTACTTTCCCACAAAGCACATATACAGCCAATCATCGCGTTGTTAATAAACAACATAGCGAATAATCAGATCGAGAACACAATTCTCCATACAAATGCAATCTTGACAAATGGTATCTTCGCGCGAAGACGTCATCTCTGTCCTGTAAACCGCTGGAATCATGCTCTTGATCGCGATGATTGGCAATCCGCGTGCTCCGGGTAAAAGCGAACCCTCAGATTTTCTTCATAAACACTGGGGCTATTACTCGAGTAAACACGGTAATCTAACCTCTCATGGCGCCGAGAGAAGGCGTCGGGCTGCGACTTGCACGGTTGGGGGTTCAATTCCCTCCTTGCCGCTTGGTAACTTTAGTTTCTCACAATTAGTTATACCAACATTTTAGGGAATATGATTACTTATACTAAATTACATCTTCTGTATGCTTTATATGCCTTATGACTGCTATGGGCTGGCTATATATTGCCCTGTCCTGCGTGTAAATAGTTTTCATTACACTCCAGCGTAAGGCTACGGTATTGGCATAAAATTCAGCTCTGAAACATATTCAGTCTTAATACGGCTTCGAAATGGTAGGGCGATTAGTTAGTTGTAAACTCCAAATTGCTGTAAAAGCCCTCGGAGGCACCGCTAGTATTTTGGCATTATAGTTCAGCCTTCGAGTATATTTTCTTCTGATCGATGTCTTGATTATTTTAATGTTCTCGCTTTCGTCTATCATTTACCTGAAAGCGAGGCACGTATGCAATAGTATTATGGTGCCCCAAACAAAAACTGCACTTTTAATATTATGACAAGAAATAGGTGAGCAACGTGTACTGGGTTTCTCACTTGATTGTTTGTAGTAAAATTTACTCAACTGTGTAAAATGATTTGGTAGGTGAAATGCACCTGATATAACAGAACCTTTAAAACAGAAACAAAATTGTTATTGCAAAACGAAGAAAAAGAGGAAATGAGCTGAATCTTTGAAACGCACTTCCAATTAGTGTAACCAGAAATATAATATAACATTATAAAAATTACTTATTTCTTCAATAATACATTGGATTTTCGCCATGGAAGAAGGACTTTCTGAATGCAACTTTCAAACTTACAATAAGTAGGGGGCAGAAAACCAAAAACTACAAAATAATACCTTGTATTAAGCGCAGTTTAAAAAGAAATTCTGAAGTTCCAGTTTAGGCAAAACTTCAAAGCAGTTTCCTGGTTTATTATGGGTAAATGTCGAAAAAAACAAAGTGGAGTATTTCTATAGCCATAACTTAAAATGTACCCCTTGCAAAAAAAAAAAAAAAAGAGAAAAACCTTGAACTATTCAAAGCCATTCCCTAATCATTGCAAACTCTGATCTTGGAGGGCAGTGTCATAAGATTTAGGTAAGTCAATCAGTCACCACTGATGGTCCCGATGTTTTTGTTCTATTCAAATCAGAACTGGATTTTTTTTTTTTTGGAGGGGGGGGGTCAAACTTTCATTGACAATCAGTCGTTTAGAGTTGAAATTTAAAAAAAAAATGAACTTGCGTCTCTTATGATTTAAATATTTTTTCAGCATTTCAGCTTTTAGATTACGGTAAGCAGTGGTTAGCAGGATGAGAAGACAGTGCGAAGCTTAGGCTGGTTAAGTTAAAGAATGTTCGGCATTTGACCCGTGTTCATATTTGTCGTTTGTTGTTTGCAACACTGTCGCATTTTAATAGGCGCGAAGCGTTATAAGGACATCAGAAATTGCAAATAAATTTTAACTTTTCAGCGTCTTAGTTTTTGTTGTCTCTCAGCAATACTTTTACCGAAAATCACCTTTTTGTATAATCTGTAAAACATAAATTGCCGAAATATTGCCGAAATACAATTATAAATATTAAAAGCACCCGCAAAACTGTTTCATAAATAAACACCAGAAAAATTGCAAGTATATTATACCTGAATATGTGAACATACCTTGTTAATGTTTTGGTACTGCGCATATTGAATGTCATCATCAATTCGAGTTTCTGGGTATGCCATCACACGTCTTGTAATCGAGATCGTGAAACATATTGCAACGAGAAAAGCGATTGCCTTCATATTTCTTAGCTATGTGAACGTAAAGTTCTACCACCAGTTGAGGGTTTGGTGTCAGGCTTTATAAATGCTATACAATGCATCCGTGATATTTAGCAAACAATTTCCATTCTTCGCGTTGCCTTTAAGTTGAACTTTATACCGCGTGTGGTAACATTAGAATGAAAGGTCATCGCTGCTCTGCAGGCTGAAACATGACATATCCATTCGAAGTTTTCTGACATTGCATTTGTCGGCCATACTTGTATTTTATCACACATGTGGGATCAAACGAAAAAAATGAAGTCCATTTCTGGCGCCCTTTAGAAAATAATTGAGCCTACGGAATACGAAATAGATTACTTGTCTGGAAGTCTTGACTTTTAGAAATTTGTGAACACTTTGCCGTTTGCCAAAGAATTTACGATACTACCCAACTGAATAATGTTAAGCCCAGCAACTCTTTCTAAAATGTTAAAGCTCATAAATAAATTTAAAAAAAATGTGTAGCCGCCCGAGTTTACAACTTTTAGCGAGTTTTGTTAAGTTTGTGTCGGCAATAATGAGTAATATGGTTTGCCATATGGTAACCGCATGATAGAAAATTTTTTCTTCCCGGATGAATTGAAGGTCGCAAGAATTACACCGATATACAAATGAGGGGGTGAAAACGTCTTTCAAAACTACAGACCAATTTAAGTATTGCCTATTTTTTTAAATATATTTGAAGGCGTAATTTATAATTCTCTTGGTTACTTTTTTCAGAGGTACCGCATAATAAATAAATCTCAGGACGAATTTCGGAAAAAACAAGTCGACCGAGCAGGCTCTCCTTGACGCAAAAGATATATGGCGTAACATTGAAGGGTAATTTTACACTATGGGACTCTTTCTTGACTTAAAAAAGAAAACATATGATACTGTGCAGAATGACATATTAATCATTAAGTTTCATAAATGAAAATCCGTGGTTTCGCCTTCAAAAATGACAAATTTGTTAATGAATCGCGTTCAGTATATCAATATTAATAAGGATCTCATTTAACAGGCCTAAGTAGAATACAGTGTACTACACGGATCGATGTTGGGATCGCTGCTTTTGCTGGTGTATGTAAGCGACATAAACACTATCTCAGACTTGCAGGATCCATTCACGCAAGCGGACGACACGAATGTGGTTTTCAACTCAACATTCTTGGTGCCACTCGAGCTATAGGCAAGTGATAACTTTGTAAAACTCTGGTTAAGAAAAAATAAATTACAACTAAATGAAAATAAAATAAAGTACTTGATATTTCACAACCTATCAACAAACCAGACCACAAAATACATTGAGTAAAGTTAAAAAATGATATGCATGAGCAAATCAGTGAGCTTAAGTTTTGTGATGTATTGTTTTTGCCAAGAGTTAACTTGGACCCCTCACGTCAACGGATTGGCCTCAGTTATCCCAAGCAATTGGGTGTATTTATAAAATAGGGAACCTGATAATAACTTAGTTAGAAAGACTGCTATATTAAAAATTTGTGTGTTCAAAACTTTGTAATGACACACAGTATTGTCCCATTCATACAAACACCTCCGCCCCCCCCCCCCCTAAATTGTCTATAATGTTAGTTTTTTATGATAACGAAAGAAAATTGTATGCATTTTCCGAATTCATGCCTGACGATGGTTTATATATATCGGGGTATTCATACCAGCTAGGTTCATATTAAAGATACATTACTATAATAGTATGGGATTACTACGACATCTAACTACAACAGAGAAGGGATTTTACAAAAAGAGTGCTTGGAGAAAAATATATAAGTAAAATTTAAAAATGTCTACTGGAACTCACTTTGCTAAACACTACAAATTTAATGCAAAATAAGCAGAGTTTTTTAAGTTATTTCAACTAATATACAAATCAGGCTTCAACCCAATTAGACAAGTTAATGTGGCGCCGTATTACACATTTCGACGGACGCTTAGAACGGCAACAAAATTAGAAAAAAAACTACGGAAAACAGTGAACCGAATATCAGGCGATCACACTTGTTAACTGCACGGAAGGCGCTATCAACTTTGCATTTTCATTTTTGAAGTTTAAGAATCTTGTTCCGAAATATCTGCTATATCCCGACGTCACATTTACACAGAATATCATCACTTTTTTATTTTCATATTCATGGTTTTTGAACTTCTTTGTAGATCACTTTTCTACTTCTGCCCTTGAATGTTTTGTCATTATTTTTTACTGTTTTAATTCCAGTGACGCTCACTAGCCGCGTTTGTATATATGCGACTTCAGCGCATCTACTCTAATCGTCCTTCAAAGGAAGCCGAAGCGTCAGCATTTACATAAATGCGCACCAAGCCCTACGCGAAGGCTACTCCACGCCGTGTCAAAGCTCAAAGTTAAAGCCGCGTTTCCGGCACCAGCCGCACCACGTGACCACGTTTTCCGGTGCCTCGCACGTGAAGGCCTTTCGACGCATTTGGCGAGCGTGAAGATCGTGCACGCTGCCTTCGCTGCTGTGCAAGCGTTTACCAGATGGAAAAAACATCAAACCCCAAGCGTTTTCGGCTCCTGGCTGGGTCGCCTGGCTACTGTGGACCAGAGGCGACGTGTGTGCGCACGCCCTGGCCAGCGAGATCTTTTCCAAACGCTCTGAGGACGCCACCGCGTTCCGCCTCGCCAAACCTCGCCGATCGCGACCGGACCAACCGAACCCCGCGGCCGAAAGGCTCTGACGCAGCCAGGAACGGCACCAGGCTAGAAGCTGCTCGTTCAGCGCAACCATGCAGTGCCCGGAGCTCTCGGCGCCGCTCGTGCTTGCGCCAAAGTCTTTAGGGTCTCAATGGGACGCGGAAGTCGTACTTCGCAAGGGTTGGACGGGGCACTCTAAAAAAAAGGGGGTCTAGTCGTTACAGCGCCTGTCACATATACGACACCCCAAAACTTCAGTCGGATGTACACCGCACTGACGTTGTACCGACGCTAACAAATTTCCCGAGCGGCTAGATAGCCGAGTTGTAGAACTGTTTAAAATAGTTAGTCTAGGTGTGACTGTCTGCAAAAAGAGTTATCGGTATTTTCTAGGCTCAGCTGCAAAACTTGTGTGTTTTTTCTCTGTAGACTTTGATACGCACTTTAGCTGCTTATTATGTTATATTGCACCGTCATCAACCCTCTCGCCAAAGTGGGGACTCTCAGTTCGACCTCAGCACGCCGTACGCCCAACTGAAGTTTTGGGGTGTCGTAAATGTAACAAGGGGTGTAACGTCTACACCCCCTTTTTTTTTTAGAGTGGGGCCGCCCTCACCGAGCAGATCAGCTATATTCCCCTTACTTATGATGGCCATAAGAGCTCGCGTTTCGTCTCGGGAGAAAACTGCGGGCAATCACTCGGGACCGCTTTCCGCGCCACCGACGAGGTTGGCCGCCGCCATGTTCTCAACTGTTCGCTAACTCCCGCAGCGAGCGCCTTTACATAATCTTCCCCGCTCCAGAATGCAATGCGTTCTCGGTTTGCATGGGCTCAATGAATGTGCATTCGCCGTCTCGATTCATCTCCGTCTAGCGACTTGAATGCGACTCGCTTCCTTGGTGCATTATAGCGTTTACACTACCGCATTAAATGCCGCAACTGGATTCGATGCGATTAAGTCGCATTCATTTAAACGCGGCTACTTTCATAATCGTGTTTTTTGGTGCGTCTATTTCACTTGCACGTGGTCTATAATGTCTTACCTTGCTAGACATTTATTGTATCATATTTATAGTCTACTTTTAGTGCGGTTTTTTAAGTGCATTCTGTTTTCAAGTTCTTTCTGTACCCATTTCTTACACTTTGGTCAGCTTATGTTTTGGTTTTAATTTTGTTGTTTACAGAACCTTTTAATACTGATTTCTATTTTATATGGTCTCTTTTGTTGTGGTTTTTTCGTTCACCTTTTGCAGATTCGTTTTATACTAATTTATAATTTATATAACTAAGAGGGACTATTTTATTTCACGCTGCTGTATTGAACATGCACAGCTGAGATTATACATACCCGCATAAAATAAATAGATACATGTTATTGTGTTTCCGTGTGTGAAAAATAGCTTTATCTATTAATTGGAACAATATGGTATTGTACCTAAGCTTTGTGATTGGGTTTCTAGTTATTTGTCATCGAGAAGAAACTTTGTTCGCGATGATAATGTTTTATCAAGTGCGTTCTCTTCAACTTCAGGAGTACCCCAGGGGTCAGTAGTGGGGCCATTGCTATTGCTAGTATTCAAAAATGATATTTCAAAGTGTATTACATCTGTCAGGATGCTTTTATTTGCTGAGGATATAAAGTTATTTTTATATATTAATTCCGAAAAAGACTGTGAAGCGCTACAATTTGATGTGTTGAGCATTTCTAAGTTGTGCCTCTTAAACCGCTTGCCTTTGAACGCCAACAAAACAAAGGTAATCTCGCTAGCAAGACGCAATAATCCCTTACACTTCAAATGCAAGTTGGGAAACTGTACTATTTCTCGATTTGATGTAGACAGGGACCTCGGAGTGCTGGTGGACTGTAAACTGTTGTTCAAATCTCATGTCACTAACATTTGTGGTACCGGTCTTAAAGTGTTCGGGATGATCTCACGTTTGACTCGACACTTCCAGACACCTGATACTTCATTACGCTTAGTTTGCTCTTTGGTTAGGCCACGACTTGAAATTGCGTCTGTTGTGTGAAACTTTCTCTCAAATACCGATTGCAGACGCGTTGAAATGGTACAAAGACGTCTCTTACGCATATTCTACGATAGGCATTTTAGCAGGAGACTCTATTTCGAGTATAATTTTCTCGTTAATGTTTTAAACCTCAGAACCCTAATTGACCACAGGCATTTGCCGAGAAGTGGTGTTTTTACAGAAACTCATACGTGGTTGTTTCGATATGCCTAATCTTTTGAGCAGTGCAAGCTTACGTGTGCGAGCTAAACACATGCGACTCTGCGATACGTTTTATCCTGGCAAGCAGATTGAAGGGTC